GGGGGAGGCAGGGGGGATGGCGTTTGAAATCTCATAAGGCAGCACGGCTTAAGACATGTTGATGATGACAGGCTGGGTCGATGTTCTGAAAACTCAGGGGCGATGTTACTACAAAAGCGCTTGTCTGGCTTTTGAGAAAAAAACCCAAACATTCTCACCTCTTATTATTAGCCACTTTATTTTAGAACCAAAATCACACATGGGGGGAAAAAGTGGCCACCGAAAATAGGCCTTTTTCATAAGTGTTTAAAAAGATTCACTGAGTGAATCAGGTGAATAGGAAATCGATTACAAAAGTACACAATTTACTGTTGCACAGATTTTTTTCTTTACTGCATTTTACTCTTTTGCCAAATAGCAATTTTATATTTTTTTGTTTTGTTTTTTTTTAATGGCCATTTAGAGCTAAAGAGTGACCAGTGAGTTAGAGAAGAGAAGAAGGCTGGACGAGGAGGCGCAAAGACTCTAGTGTTGGCCTTGTCTCAACTTAAATATCTGCGTACAGCAGCATCACAAGAAAACCTCACAGAAGCACTCACTTCGAAGACCACAGTAGAAGCATCCTATCACAGGTAACCAGAGTGATTTGATTGGGCAAGTAATCAACCTAAGGTTCGCGTCTACAAGTGAGGGATGTTGGTGATTAAAGCAGTTAAACCTCATCGTGTACCTGTTAGTAAGAATGAGCCTCTAGGGGTCAGTGTTAACACTGAGTGAACACTGAAGTAGTTTAGTGATTTAACGGGACAAACTTCGAACTTAAAGGTATGGTGACACCTAGAGGCTGTTTATGAAAGCTGAGGAACGAGGGATCATGTGCAGGGTCCTGTGTGTACGTGGAGGATGCCACGCGTATGCATCTGAATAAAGTTGAAGATTTCATGAGGCATCGCGTGGAAGCCTGGTCGAGGCTTGACATTGTCGTAGTAGTGGTGGGTGATGAAAATACCAGAGGGGTTCATGGGAAACGCCCAGAAGCCGTAAAGATGGACCTCCTCGCACAACTCCAGGGCTGCCGTCACCAGCATGAGGCCGCTGCTGAGGCGTTTGGCTCGGACGCCCTGCACCGCCCAGAATCGCTGCACGTTCAGCAGATACTGTGGGTGAAAGAAGAAGACGCCCCTCTGCGAGTCAAAGTCGTCCAGCATGTACTTGACTCTGAAGGACACGTCGGTGTTCCGCGTGTTGTAGAAGGCCGGAAGCACCACGGAGGAGTTCTCGTAATTCTGGAGCACTTCGTAGAACGGGCGTCGCCATTTCTCCAGCTTCTGAAATCTGCAGAGGAAGAGAGACTTTTCAAAATAAATACAAGAGGGAGAGGGAGAGAGAGAGAGAGACTTGTTTTCTCTCATATTAACAGCACCTCTCGGTGATAATGCTGGGATTAATTGTAACCAGGTCTGTTTTTGTGCCCACGTCAGCTGAGTATTTGTCATTGATGGGTGGGATGTTGCACCTGGAGTAAAAAAAAACAAAACAATTACTATCATGATTAATCATGATTAAATGCTATTAATCTACAGCTAAACTGTAATTCAACAGTAAAATATTTTAATATACACCAAATGATGCCACTGACTGTATGTAAAAAAATAAATCCGTAGACCTGACTCCAACTTGGGTCCTACAGATCAGTTTATCAAAGACTGGGTCGCGACCCTTAGGTGGGTCACAAGAGGGTTTTTTTTGGGGGGGTCGTTGTTTCCCAGGTGTTTACAAATAATGTCTATTGACACAAGTTGCAAAGGTTTGTAAAAAGGTTTGACAAAAGTTTGGGAAACACTGTTACAGACGATCCTTGTTCATCAAAACAATTTTAATCAGTGGATAAAAATGAAAGTTATTTTATCATCAGCAATTTAGACAAACTGTGTTTAATCCACCAACCGAAAGAAACACAAATCTGTTTCATCATTGAGAAGTTGATGCTTTGGCCTCATTTTTCCTGCTGGCCAGCAGTGGTACTGCAGCAAAAAATTCCCAGGAAAAGTAAAGAGAAGAATACGTATACCTGAAAACAAAATCAGCCGAGTCGATTTCCTTCCCACATTTGCTGTTCTTGAGGATCCCACCATTTCCAATGACAGCACACTTTTTATATTGTGATTTAGAATAAGGCATGTCCTGCAGAGAACAGACAAGTGAAGTGGTAACTTTGGTACTCCAAAAAAAAAAAAAAAAAAATCAAAAATGTTAAAAGACGAAGCTGTGGAGGAAGAAAAACACACACACTTACATCTGGGAACATCTTAAAAACCTCACTGGTGATGGGAAGAATTCCACTGGTGTCCACCTCGTACCTCAGCTTGGTCCCTGCAGGAGTGTTCCTCTTGGTGGTGAACAAAAAGGAGGGGGCATTACAGCAGCGGGACAGAGACATCCTTCGAGGGGACAGGACAGAGAACGTGTTTAATTTAGTCTTTGTGGTCTCTGTGAGAGCAGAAGGCCTGAAGAAGAAACTCACGTTCAACAAGAGACACGTTACAAATGTTAAACAAGAAATGCACATTATCTGAACCTAAATGGATTTACGTATTTAAAAAAAAAAAGATTTACTATATTTAGTTTCTGAACAACCCAAATGCTACACTGATGCTAATAACAACAAGACACTAGACAGAGTAAACATGCAGTGGACTAACACTAACACACACAGGCGTGACATGATATCTATGTGATATGACAACGTGTCACTTCCATCTTGGACGATGTAACAATGCTCACTTAAAGTTGCTGGTCTCCTCCTTGCCCTGCTCCCACTTACATACTTGCAGGTTTCTCCACCTCTCGAACAGCTCGGAGGTTTTTACCCTGTAAGGCGGAGACATCAGTGTGTGTAAATAGCAGTACTTCGAATTGTACTCTGTGTGAGACGACTGGAGGATGAGACGGCCACGTGACGGCAGCCGCAGAATAGAGTGGTTGACAGTGACTTGACTTAGTACAGACTTAGTAGACCACTAGTATGTACATGGACACTAGTGGTATACATTTTTATTTATCACTGAAATATATATATATGTTTATATATATATATATTTAAATTCTTGATTATCCTTGTCAGGCCTAGTGTAATTACTTAATTTTCAAAAAAAAGTATGTTTTTGTCAGCACTTTTATTTCCTACAATTCTATCATGTCTATTCACAATAATCACACATTCAAGTACACAGTACACAGTACACAGTACACAGTCAGTTCTTGACAGGGGCATGTCAAGAACTGATCATTTCATAGTACTAAAAACTCTTGTTCTAAATTATCTCTGTTTTCATTTTTATTTACATAATACACATAATATAAACACATATACACATATTATCTGAGTTGTATATATTTTGTCAAACTCAAGGTTCGGGGACAGATCCAGCCCATTGCGTCATTTTATGTGGCCCACCAGAGCTGACAATGCATGTGGTTATTTTACAGTAAAAGTCTATAGTTTAGACCCTGTACGACTGTTTACTGGATTCCAATTCTGATCAAACATCTATCATATACTAAATCTCCCATAATGCACGTCACATTTGTGACCCCCCCCCCCCCCCCCCCCCCCCCCCCCCCCCCACCGACGACCCGTCTACAACAACACTCTTGAAGAGACCCTGTACGACTGTTTACTGGATTCCAATTCTGATCAAACATCTATCATATACTAAATCTCCCATAATGCACGTCACATTTGTGCCCCCCCCCCCCTCCTACCCCCCAGCATCCTTCCAAAGCACTGGACTGTTGACATCATGAATGTTGACTCACATTGATAAGACCTTAACGTCCATAATGTCCTGTCTGAGTTCCCTACATGCCGAGGAGTTGTAGTCCACGGCGCCATCGTAGGTTTCCAGGTACCTGGTGGAGAAGACACAGTCATCTACTGTCTGAACCTCTGTCTTCAGACACAGCAAAGAAGAAAAAAATGATTGGAATATAGAGTACAAGGCGATCGGGACGTTTACTCTATAACTTAGTTAGCTAGCATACGGTATGACATGACAATTAACTACGGGATGCAACTAATTTTAGGTTTATATTTACTGGACACTTGCACCAGATTCTGTTCCATCTTAGAAAAGGCCAATGTTACACTGAGTAAAGAGGAGGAATGTTATTTTAATATTGGTTTAGATCAGGGATTTAGAATGGGATCATTGTGTATATTTGCTGTATATTGACGTGGAACAGAACTAAAGGTGTAGCATATCAATGGCGGTTGATTTAATGCCGTAGTGTCTGGTGAACATGGGAATGAAATGTGCTCCGGTGTCTCGGTGTCAGAAATCTGACGTCTGCATTAATGAGGGTAACTACACAAAAGCAAACTTACGTTGGTTCTGAATGGTACTGGAAGTGACTCAGTGGCTGCGTCTGATATTTTCATAGACAAACACATACACAGATGGCCATGCAGACAGGAAACCAGAGCAGAGGCAACATTAACTTAACAAAGTTTTAAAACAGTTTTAAAATTAGGGAAATGTTTTGATTTACATGAATCTAACTGTATTAGCCAAATATGAGGCAACAAATATCCACCTAATTCTATAACAAGTGGAAGGGATTTTCTGGAATTATTTGATCTGAGTTTTTTTTTTTTTTTTTTTTTGTCGTTTTTTTTTTTCATGTAGATTTGGATAAAGGCCATGATCTCTCTCTCTGGCCCATTTAAAAACCGCCTACTATGTGTTATACATTTATGTTATACATATTTTATGAAGGAATTTATATATTAATAATATAAAATATGAAGTAAATATTTATATCAAAAATCTTCAGGAGTCTGAGTCCTGGCTTTACGGGAAGCAAAAGAGTTCAATCACAAAATGGCAGCAAGTGCAGGTCAGAACAAATGTTGGTGTTGGTGAGACATAAGAAATGGAGTGAAGTGTTTAAAAAATGAATTCAAATGAAAAAGCTTGAGGCTGTAAATGTTAAAAGGGTGATTTTGGAAAAAAAAAAAGATGATGAGAGAATATGGGTTTGGTTCATTAAAGAAACCAGTTACTGGGATGTAGATGAGTGAGAATCAAACTGGTCGTCTACATCCACCTGATGATGCAGTACATTTCTGATAGGATCATCTTACATTTGGGCTTTTATGAGGATTACTCTGCTTGTTTTAGCTAAGATGATGAAACCTTTGCAAGTGTTCTGCGGTGGTTTTTGTCTAAAAGCAAGACATCAATTGACTTGATGTGGGGTTTTTTTTATCTCTAACGGCGGCCGATTGGTTAACGCTGGTCCGTGAACATTCCACACTGACAAACCAGCATTTTACCACAATGACATCCTCACTGATGATCTGAAGCTTTGGGGGAGTAAGGGATGGGTGTGCGGGGGGGAGAGGGGAGGTCTGACACGTTCCCATCTTCTTGTAATAAGGAAAGTTAAAGTAAAATCCAGGTCACAGAGAGAGAGACAATGCAGATGTGAGAAGAGGAAGTAGGGGAAGCAAAGAGAGGTGTCCACACTATGTACATGGCACAGGCACACACACACACACACACACACAGAGCTGCAAAGAACACGACGTGACACACGGGTTGAGGAGGGCAAGGCACTTGGAAATGGGTGCTGGATGGGAGACAAGAAGCCACTACATCGACCGGAGACCGTGGTTCAACCAGTTTCTGAAGGTGGTGGTGGTGTTGGTGGTGGAGGAGGAGGCAGGGGGCGGGGGTTTGTGGGGTGCGGGGTCTGAGGTCAAGGACAGGATCAAACAACATGCAAAGAGCAAATCTGAAGTGCAACCACCACAGAAAAAAAATGGGCATTTATTCCTTTAAGACTAATGAGAAAACAGAAGCATTCTTGGGTTTCTGTGAAAATACTAAAAAAAAAATTTAAAAAAATGCCTTGAGACAGGCCTACCTTTGAATGCGTTTTTTTGTCTCCTTAACATCAGCTAGGCAGGGTGTGACTATTATGGAGATCTGTGAATCTGGCTGAATAATCTGACGGAAACATCTGTCAACATGCAGACAGGTTAAGTTAGATTAAAATATGTGATGTGCTCCTGCGACATCATCACCCCTGCTAACTCGCTGACCCTGCAAAAACACAGGAAATCAAATATATACTGTATATATTGCTTTGAATGTGCTAAGGCTGAGACTGATGGGGTGTTCAAAGAAAAGAAAGAAAAACAACAACAACAACAACCCAGTCCACGCATGCAGGGCTGGGACACCACTATGTTGACTTTTGAGACTTATGTTTTCCTTCCCTTCTATCTGTCTGTCTCTCACACTCTCTTTTCTCAGAGGTGTTGTACAGTCACTCACAAAGGAAAGATACCTTTTCCTTCCAACTCTGGCAGGCTTCAGCGATCCATCATCCGAGTAATTTACAGGACCGGTCCAATTTCCTGTCTCGTCCCCTTTGAGTCGGCTAAACTGTTGTGAACTAGTAAGAAAGAGTCAGTTTATTTGGGTTTTAATGTCCTTAAAGTTCAGAGGTCAAACACATACAAACCAAAATGAAGTGTCCACTCCAAAATGACAACATCTCTCTCTCACACACAGACACATGTACACATGCACACACAACAAAGGGAACCAACTTTTTTGGCTGAAGGAAAACAGTCCAGATGTGGTGTCGGATTTGTCGTGTTGTGAAAAGTCAATTCTTGCTGTTGACGACCTACGTTCGTGTAATGCTGAAATACAGAAGTGTGAGACTCGTAAAGCGATGCATAAATGTCAACGCAACTTAGTGGTGGAACGATAATCACTGCCAATGTTTCTGTGAATGTCAGACGGAGAGATGCCAACGATTTTGATGCCAAGTGTAGATACAGTAAAGTTAAATTTAGACCGTATTCTTTCAGCCAAAAAATGACTGATTAAATGGACCTTCTTCACATCATTTGGCCACCGACGTTAATGATTTTCTGACCGTGAGAACGGTTGTTTGGTGCCGTCTGTGGTGACGGCTTGTGAAGACAAAGATTTACATTTAGGTAATCAATTCATTAATAATCTCAGCCTTTGAATGGGCTTGGGCGACACACACAGAAAAAAAATGGAAAACACCGACCCAGTCTCGAAACAAACACCGTGTTAAATTACAGGAAACACAGGAATGCATTGATCTGGGCTCAAAATACAAAGTACAAGTCAAGATATTTGTATCTCTCTGAGCTGAACCAGGATGTTCATGGTCTTTATGTGGAGGCTAGGAGGACTTTTAGACAAATTGTAATACTAAGAAATTCATTAAATATGATTATATTTAGATTTATTCAAATGTGTAGAAATCAAAGGCACAACATCCATGTATTTCAGAGACGAAACATCCATGAACTGAGTCATTTATGTAAATGTATTCCAGTATGACTCAGTTCCCTGAGTGCTCCGTGGGTGTTGTGCTAAATCCAGTCGAGAGTTTGAACCTCAAGAGCCTTCCTGGATGCATAATGTGGATGAACATCACAGGAACGTACGCACAGCTGCCATCAGCGAGTGCCACTTTAGCATCAAATACCCGGTGAAACCAGAGTGATGTTTCCACAAGTACATAAAACGTTAGCAACGTAGTTTAGCTCGTCTGCATAGAAATCTTCAATCTGAACAGAATTTACTTTATATCTGAATCATCCAGATGTCCGTGCCCCTCTCCCCCCCCCCTCCATTCTGCGGTCCAATTGAAACTTTTAACATGTTCTACTAAAGCAACAGCGACCTTCTGAGTTGGACTTAAAAGCATCAGGACCTTTTTGTACCGCAGGAATTTTACTGCCCTGTTGAGAGTGTAGCCCGCAGGCATATTGATCCACATGACCACTGGTAGGCTACTGTACGCCCAGTGATATTTTCTGCATCACTTAAAGACTTAAGCAGTATTGTCCACATCGACTCACATACGCTGCCCTCGTGTTGTGTTTTGTTTCCTCCTGTACTGATGGAAATGCTGCCTCTCATCAATTATGAACAACATGAAACAGTAATGGTTTACCAACATTTCTGTACAACAACATGTCAGCAGCGTATAAATAGCCTCACTTCTGGTAAACAAATTAAATCTGAAATGATGGCGAATGTCTTTACTGTTACAGTTAGTACTGTATAAAGGAGTTTGATTCATTGAAAAGTCATGTTTAAACAAGAGTTATAATCAATCCATGAGGTGTGAACCCACTATATTTAGCCTGATGGATTCGTACTTTCTGGATTATTTCCCTAACCACCGGCCAACAGGAGGTCCTGGTCCTTCCTTTTGCTGTAAATATTTTTAGAAACAACACTCTGGAGGGTAATTAGAGCTTAAGATAAATTTGCCGTCACAAAAGTATGTCACTCACTGTGATCCCGTAATAAGCTCCCATCTGAGAGAGGTCACTGTAATGATGTACAACAACAGCCTGGCCATTACTGCCTCTTCACTGGCCTCATCTTCATCTTTCATTTCCTCAGCTACACCCTGCACCCAACATGACCCACCCCTGCCAACATGTCCCCTGGTCAAGGAACCCGCTGGGTGCGGTGGCTGAAACCAAACTGTTTTAGCTTAAATAGACACACACACTTAGAAACACACACATGCAAACCTAATCATTTCATTCCTTATGTCTTTCTCTCTCTCTCTACCCTCTCCTTCCTCGCTCTCCCCCAATTGCACTGGGGTGTGTGCAGACAGACTGAAGTAAAATGGCTGCCGCTCAGCCCCTCGGTTTCTGCCGTGTTTGCTTTTCACCCCTTCGCCGCCCGGCTGAACACTAGAAACACGCAAATAAATGTGTATGTGCCCGGATTCATGAATCTCACTGCAGAGGTCAGGTTGCCATGAATCCAGACAGACCAGCCTAGAAGGTGGAAGGGGAGGGGGTCAGCTGTGGGGAGCTTTCAGATTTCAGCACAAATATGTTTGCCGTGAAACAAACATATAATGCTGTAGGTTTTATATCTGGAGGAAGGGGGAATGTTTTGTCCATGTTTGGGGTTTTGTTTTTCTTTTTTTTTTTTGCCTTGAGATTACACATCTCAGCTTCTCAGCATCTGCTCGTCTCACAATTTTTGTCAGGGTAAATGGAGTGGGGGCAGAGGGGGGCTGTAATATAACTGTAAGGAATTAAATGAGTCTTCAAATTGAACCTGTATCAGACCAGAGTTGCTGGCACTGTTGCAGAGGTGTTAAACTAAAACTTGGCTCTGCAACCGCACAAGTGCAGCATAGTGGAAAATAATGGGTTTTTTTTTTTTTAGCGGGGAGGGCGGGGGTGAGGGGGGGGATGTGGCTGTCGTCTGTCAATATCATCATCATTAGCTCCAGAAGCTCTCAGACACATGATGGTAATCTGATGCTCTGTAAGATGTAGCCTACCACCAGTCAGTTAAGACTGAAACGGAAAAATCAAATCAAAGCGAAAAACATTACCATACACAGCTGGGTCACTGTGTATGGTGTGAATGTGATGCCTCGTTTCAAGAAAATATCCAACATAAATAAATACATACAATGGAGACGGCCTCTGTGCCACTGGGAAAGAAAGATGGATGGTTAATTACTATTGTCCTTCTCAGCCATTAGAGCTCGTTCACCCCCTGCGCCCCACACGCAGCGTGGGGGCCGTTTATCTTTTGGGTTTTTTTTTTGTTTGTTTTTTTCGTTCGTTTTTCCAACGTAAATCGATGTTTATTTAGTCTTTTTCTGAACATCAACACTATTGATGCTAAGAACATCAGCGTGGATGACTCTCTCACAAACGCTTGTCCCTGTTCCAACTGCCTTTTGTCCGAGAGAAAGGACCAAACACTTACCTCTTGATGTAGTTTTTCCCATAGAGAATCTGCTGCAATAACGTGACGAGTCCGAATGCGCAAATGAATATGAAACAAAGAGATCTATTGCCGAGGATGTCTTTACCCGACGATGGGTCGGCGTATCCAATTCTTCGGCGCAGCATCCAGGGCTGCTGACGGTGACACCGCTTAGGTGTCGCTCTCTGTCTGCTGCATTCAGGACTACGAGCGCAGGTGTCTCCCACCCGCTGGACTGGACATTGTCCTTCACCTCAGTCACGCCGCCCAGCCATAAGGGATGGAGCTAAAAAAAGAAAAACACCCACACCTCCTGATCTAACAAAGAAAAACCAGTAATGTTGATCCCTCAGTGTGTGCTATGTTGGCTGTATGTGCCGTAAGCTGGATTGTTTAAGGAAAAAAACAAAAAACATCAATGCCACCCGCGCGACTCTAAAATGATCTGCGGCGGAAGAAAACCATCACCCGTGCTTCTCCTCTAATGGGAGCAGGGCTGCGTGACCGTAATGTGATGCGATTGAGGAGGATGCGCCTTTTCTCCCGCTGCCAGTAGCAGCAGCAGCAGCAGCAGCAGCAGAAATGGAACAGTGGTATCAGCAGTGGTGGAGCAGTTTCAGTCGATGCTCCTTACTCAGCCAAAAAAACAAGGTCATCATGGTCTCCTCCTCCTTCACCTGCGCTCACATGATCTCAGTCGGGATATCAGCAGGGTCAAAATGCCCTTGAAAGATTTCAAAATGCCTTGAATGACCTCATGAGTGAGGGTTTTAACGCACATTAAAATTGCTTACTTTACTTCTATTGACAGATATGGAGTATAAAATAATTTTATAGATATCGTTTATTCATGCAGGTAAATTGCAATCTGTGCTGTGAGGATACATTGATTTTTTTACTAATTAACATTAGAAGATGCTTCTCTCTACCCAGTGGGCATCATGGCATGTTGTGTTTTTATATCAGTCATCAACAGCAGCCCACATTTTGATAAAGCTTTGGTACACTTTACTTTAGAAATGATAACAGCTTGATAAGATACTAGAGATTCCAAATCATAACAATAACAGAAATGATAACAGCTTGATAAGATACTATAGTAACCATAGCATGGAGCAAATGAATACGGGGTTAAGTCAAAGAGATCACATATTATTTAATAATACAATAAAGGTATTTACATATCTAACATTTATGTTTGATAATATATTTAAGTTAACAAAAAACTGTTGCTAAGCTTCAAAACTTTTAACTTTAATGTGTGTGTGAAACATTAGTTCTTAGTCCAGTTTTAGTTCTTAGTCTTTTACTTCATAATCATGACGTGAGATTCTGTGTGATTACCTGGTCTGGATTAAAGATTAAATATTCTTCTACTAACTAATGCTGTTGTGCAGTACACCACACACATCTTCACAACAGTACTAGAAAGCTAAATGGATTTTTTTGTATTGATAAAAACATCCTTGAACGTATCAACATATTTTACTTAGTTAAAAACCCAAATACAGAAGGTGTTAAACTATTCATTTCCCAAACCATGGCTGTAAGCCCTCTGTTGTTTCCAGGCCAGATGGTGGATGCATATAATATTTATTAACCACATGTACAACATTCCACAGCCAAAAATACAACCTGGACCGATGCCAGGAAAAAGATATCAGAATATTAAATAATACATTTTTAAACTTTAATGATTTCGTATTTTAATTCCCATTGAAGAGATAGTTCAAAAATTTATAAATGACCTCCTGACCCCTTACACACCGCAATGTAACCTGAGAACCTCTGGTAGAACGATGTTTGGACGAACTGTCCAACACAAAAACACAGGGTGACTGTGAACTTTCTTTTCTAATTAAGTCATTAAATGACTTGCCTTTCTATGCTTACATATTACATTTTTTAATTAATTATTTTTATGTAACATATTATTATTATTATTTATTTATTACTATCCTTGTAATCACTTGTGCAATCATTTTCAAAGGTAGGCCAGTTCTCTTGAGTTCCTGGCTCCAGCTCACTACGCTCGTAGGCATAGTCTAACCAGCCACCCTGCCAAGATGGGTTTCTACCTGTCATCAAGGGTGTTGACAGATCTGTAGAAGTGATAAATAACCTTATTGGTGCCTCTTTCTCAACCGTTTCATTAAACACAGAGATTTAACAATATAAGAATTGTTCTTAATGCCAAGAACCACAACTATATAAATAGAAATTCAATTGGGTAATATCTGTGAGGACGATGTCACTTTCAAACATCTTGCTTCAAACTGTCTCATTTACTGAATTGCAAAAAAACAAAACAAATTATTTTCATTCCGTTTGTGATGATTATAAAAGGCTACACCCTTGGTGTCTGCATACTGCACCTAATTTCCAGAAAAGTGAATCAAATTGCAATAAAAAAAATACCAAAAACCCTGCAAGGTTATAATTCATATGCATCGTGAATTATGCCAAATAAAAGGTCATTTTAAAATGAGTGGTTTTACTGACCCCTTCTGACATTTTAATTGTCGAGATTAATGCATTCAACACAGGCTCAAATCAACCTGTCCAAAAATGATGTTAGTATATATTGAGCATTTATCTTTTATGTACGAAATTATGCGACCGCTTTATTTGCAAAATATATTTTTCACCTCACAGCCCCTAGTAGTAGCAGAAACTACAATGCGTTTGTCAATTGAAGGGTAATAACGTAACGTAACGTAAATAAGTATGTTTATTTTAATTTTCATTCCGTTGGTGATGATTATAAACAGATAAACATGGGTAATTAATTGTTTGTGATACACGCTTAGGCACCTGTTCAACGTAAATAAGTTTTTTTATTATTTTCATTCCGTTTGTGATGATTATAAACAGATAAACATGGGTAATTAATTGATAACAGTAAGTAAATCGCATAAGTCCGAAGTGGGTTGCATTTCACTGTAACACAGGAAGTACTACGGTTGTAATTTCACGCAGCGCCAACTCCTCTTCCGTCCTCTTTTCCCTCAGCCAACTGACGAAATGGTGAGATACAAATGCTGTCATGCTAAAATCTAAAAACATCTTTTTAGTGTGTTGTTCATTTCACACCATTTGGTATTTTTTAAATATCCGATATATAAAACGATTATTTGGGGGGTATATTTTTTAAAACAAAGTCTCATTTTGATTATAAAAGTGATACAGTCGCTTCCGTTAAGCATTTATTTGCTAATGCTAACGTTGACGCTTAGTTCACTCTACTTATTCTACTCTACTTTAGTTTCCTATCTGTAATTTTCACTCAGTACAACTTTCGTTAAGACAGTTCCCTGACTGTCCGTTATGTATTGTTGCGTATGCTGTTTTCAGGGTCATTTTGTGAGAAGGCTAGCTAGCTTTTCCTAACCGGTTAGCATCACTGGCTAATTGACGATAGTATGCTAGAATATCGCACATGTACATTTCTGCAACTTTGAAGTTGACCTTATAGTTTAGAAGTTGTTTGCAGTGTTCGTGATACAGAAAACATTCGTTAATAAATGAATTTCAAGAGTCGTCGGTGCAGGCATCCAGGAGATCACCGCCAATAAACAAAGTGTGAACATGGCCATCGGAAAGACCTGAGATGAGCATAAGCGACATGTATTACAACCTGATGTGTGTTTACTTTTAGAAGTAATTAGTTCATTGAATGAACAGGCAAATTGGTGGTCAGGTTTCCTTGACCAGGACGTGATCATCAATATGTCTAAGCTGGATAGGCGATGCTACTTAGATAAGTAAACCCTTGTAAATTTTGCATCCAGTCTTGTCAATGATGTCTTCAAACACAAATGTCTGAACATATGACTGTCAGTGATTCAGTTTTCTAAACTGAGACAAGACTAGTAATTAATTTACTATTTTGTTTATTTTCAAGAATCTGTTCTAAACTTTGACATTTTAATCTGTTTATTAGACCAAGGGGACATCGTCTTTCGGTAAGCGCAGGAACAAGACGCACACCCTGTGCCGTCGCTGTGGTTCCAAGGCCTATCACCTGCAGAAGTCCTCCTGTGGAAAGTGTGGCTACCCTGAGAAGCGCAAGAGAAAGTGTAAGTCACAGATATGTTTGAAATAAAATGCTGAGTATCTCAATATTATTAATCTTAATGGTGTCAATTAATGATAATTGTTGTCATTGTTCGTCTGTATATTTAGCAAGTAAAGTTTGGATTTTGTTTGACAGACAACTGGAGCGCCAAGGCTAAGAGGAGGAACACCACTGGAACTGGTCGTCTGAGACACATGAAGGTTGTCTACCGCCGATTCAGGTATGATTCTCAAGGAATAGGACGTGTTTTATTTGCAATGCAAAGCTTGTTTTTGTCAAAAAACATTTCATTTGCTTTTTGGAATTTATCAAACAAGATTGTCCTTAAGGATTGATCTGCTTTTTTTATTATGAGATAAATATAAATTCTCTGCTTTTTTTTTTATCTCTCAACCAAAAGTCTTGTTTATATTTTTCTTGGATGAAAGATGAACTCAGTTGAATTGTGCCAGTTTTTTTCATTTTAAAATTTTATTAGGTACAACACAAGATTGCTGTTGTGTATAACTTTGACCCATTTTGTCGGTATTGTTTTCTCAATGTGGCTTACCAGTGATGGTGAAAAAAAATGTCTGAACAAATGAATCATAATGATATCAGTATTTTCTCTGAGGTAAGCTTCATTGGGAGACTAATCTTTTTTTTTTTTTTTTAATCTATCGTTCAACTTTGTGCGGTTGGGCTCTTATTCACCATAATGATAAACGTGGTGATGATGAGTCTCTTGTTTTTGTCAGTCAACACATGTTTCACAAAATTAGTTGCTGGCATTTCAACAGTATGTGACAAATGTCAAAATTACATGTCACTTGACTATAGATTAAATAGTTTGCCTTGTGTATAGTTTTATTATTTATAACAATTAGATTTGTATTAGTATGGCTTCTTACACTTATTCAAAAACATTAAACTGCTGTTTAACCTGGTTATGCAGAGAGTAAGGTGGTAATTTAAGATCTGAATGTATTCCTGTTCCCAGCAAAACAGCTTCAGCATCAAATTACATATGAATCAATTCACATTGTTGGCAGCTTTGACTACACTTTTTTTATAATCGGTCTACTCGTATCTGCCTATCCCACCCTTTAAACTCTACATGTTAAAGTTTAAGCTTATTACAATTCATTCTGCATCCCATTGTAACAACGTGTCTCAGGTAAGTGTTGAAACATGCCATTTGATTCCATGTAATTGAACAAAGCCATTGGTTCAAGTTTAACTGTTGCCACTTTCCCACGATCATGGTTTTGATGAAGATCAGGAAAAACACTTGTCACCAGTGAGTCATTTCAACAGACTAGTGTTCTGTGAAATTGGTTGGCTCTCATAAGAATCCTTAACTGAACGGCCTACTTCTGTTTGCCTGTAGTGTCATTACCTACGATAATAATAATATTACACATATTATCCTTCTCCTCCTGACTCCTCTTTTTTCATGCTTTTGTTTTCCAGGAATGGTTTCCGGGAAGGAACTGCCCCCAAACCCAGACGTGCTGCAGTGGCCGCCTCCAGCTCATCCTAAAAGACACATTTTTGGTTAAATAAATGTGATGTTAAATTGGGTTTTGTTTTGTCATATTTTCTAAGATGCTGTCAAATACATAACTAATGGATTACAAACAGACATTTTCCATATTGGTCATTTTTTATCCTGAAGTATGTTTAAATCCTTGAATTACAAAAACAACCACACAGTCACATAATAAAATGTGCTCGTTGGACACACAAGTCTTTGTTCTGTATATTATTGTCTCGTTGGACACACAAGTCTTTGTTCTGCAGTTGGATAGCTTTATTTCCAGCCCCAGGTCCAATGTCAACATGAGCAGCAAAAGGTTGTTTCCAAAGGGTCCCCCCCTTCCATTATTTCTTCTTTTTACACTTGGAATCTGTTAAAGCTCAAAGTATTTACACGGGTATTTGAAATGTGACACGAACAGCGTCCCCCCCTCTTTATTTTTGCAGTAGTCTAAGGTTAGAATCTTTTTATACTTGGAATCTGTTAAATCTCAAAGTATACCCCCCCCAATTATTTCGTCTTTTTACACTTGGAATCTGTTAAATCTCAAAGTATTTACACCGGTATTTGAAATGTGACACGAACAGCGTTCTACTTAAAATCATACACTTTTTTTTCTCTCAGTTGAGTTCACACCACAAGCAGAAGGTTCCTGTGTGTTCAAAGAACGGGGGGGAGGAAGGGGGGTTTTTTCCTTTCATTGAGTGAATGCAAATGCGTCTAGATTTGTTTGTGCAGTCTTTGGTGGTAGAACATTGCTTTCTTCCATGTGATATCAGCAACTCTGTGCAAATCACTTCAGAGCAGCTCTGAAGGTCTCCAGTTTCCTTTTGACTTTGTCTCGACCTTTAGACTTTCTGTGCATCCCATTGGAGAATGGAGCTGGAATAGTGTTAGTATTGGGTCAGGACTTTCTCTCCTGTCGCCTCAGGCTGCTCTGTCGGTCCTTTGTGGAGAACAGAAACATGGAAGAAAAAAAAATATATACAACTGTAGGAAATAACCCCAACTCAATAGGAGGAAGGTTGGAGTATACGCAGTACTATATGTAGTAACTTAGAAAGTCTTGCACAATGCAGTATTTCTGAAGAATAACTCACACGGGTTGAAGAAGAGTAGAAAGTCCAACTAGAGGTGCTGTGTTAACCAGATATTTGTGTTTTCAGTCTACCTAGCACTGAACTTTATGGAAACATGTTAAAAAAGACAAATTACAGTCTTACTCTTTATTGGGGGGGAGCAGCAGTTTCCTAACATCCGAAACAACAAAACTTCTAAATATTTACCGGGGACTAAACAATACTGAGATTTCTTAGGTTACAACTGATGGAAGGTCTGTTTACGAATAAGTCGAAAGGTTCAAATTTTATGGTTGCAGCTGGGTGGTTCGGAGGAGGCTGCCACGCTGAGATACAACAGCAGTGCTTGGTTGTGGGAATGTGTTTAACACCAGTGCAGATTTATCACTAAGATAACATACATGTGCAGCTTCATCCTGCAGCCGTGCATCAAAAGTGAGACGCTTCATCTACCCTGACTAGAATGCTCTGTCCTTATTCAATGCTGACGGGTAACATGATAAGCCTCAACTGTAATGTTTAGAGTTTTGAAATCAGGAATCTCACAGACTGATGTCGAGGCAGGTCTGGTGAAGATGAGCCGTTTCCCATCATTACTTTCTCTTTGTCCAAAAGCTCTCTCTCTGAAATCTTTTATATATCAACAATTATTTCTGACAAATTCAGATGTAAGGCTTTTTGCAAAAGGCTCTTGTGTTTTCATTACATTTGATCCGATTAATCACAGGATAGCTGTGGACTAATCACGATTAATTGAGAGGAAATAACATCCTAAATATGAAAAATAAGAAATCTGTAAAGTTTTGGATTTACAGAAAAAAAAGACATGCAACATAGAAATACTGAATTTAATTTTCATATTTTTTTTTTTAGTTTTTACCAAGTTTGTCCTTAGCGCTTTTGAGTAGAAATAAAACCTCACATATTTCAGTGTCTTCCAGCTGTTGGTGATTTCTTCAGTCTGTCAACGGAGCCGCTCCGTGGAATGATACGGCCCGAGTAAACACACTGGCCAAAAGGAGAAAATGTCATAATAAATGCAGCCTCCCACTCGTTCTCCTTTCTACGTAAAGAATCTTATGAATTAAAAAAGAGAGTAGGGGGTGTAAGAGAGGGAGGGGCAGGAGGAGGAGGGGCAGGAGGGGGGGGGCACTCACGCGGCTAAACTCAGGCTTCATTTCAACACAGAATGTTAACCTTGGGTTTAACCAACAGGAGGCGCTCTTTGCTTTTTCTCTTTTGACTTCGCAGTGCAGGTGAAGTATCAGTGTGAAGACAGAGCTGGAGCTCTGAGTGTCACAGACAGGAGTATTTTACTACTGCGGTGTCGGTCCTCCTGCTGCTGCTGCTGCTGCTGCTGCTGCCAACAACCACCGTGGACCACCGTCACAGTGAGGATTACTGCCCCTGTCTTCCATTTCCAGGGAATGAAACTCTCCTGAACCGACGCTGCTGTGATGAGATGTGAGTCTGAGTCTGTGACGGCGTCTGTTCTCGGCAGCTCCGTCTTTCTTTGTTTAACTGTCTGTATCCAAACACATGTACTGACTCCAGGTCTTCGTGTTGAAGTTTCTGTCCTAGGATCACTCTGCGCTCTCGTCTTGCTGTGGCCGCAGCCGTCATGCCTGGGGGATGAGGTGACCTCCAGCACAGGTACTGTAGGTAAGAGGTCAGTGTTACCGGACACTCTGTCGTAGCGTCATTGTAAATTTTACGTATAGGTTTTTTTTTTTTTTTTTTTTTTTTTGCAATTGCCAGAAAAAACGGGTCTTTCTTTGTTTAACTGTCTGTATCCAAACACATGTACTGACTCCAGGTCTTCGTGTTGAAGTTTCTGTCCTAGGATCACTCTGCGCTCTCGTCTTGCTGTGGGCGCAGCCGTCATGCCTGGGGGATGAGGTGACCTCCAGCACAGGTACTGTAGGTAAGAGGTCAGTGTTACCGGACACTCTGTCGTAGCGTCATTGTAAATTTTACGTCTAGGTTTTTTTTTTGTTTTTTTGTTTTTGTGCAATTGCCAGAAAACACGGGCGTGGGAAGAGTTGAACCGGTGCGCGCACACGCGCCTGTGCGTTCCCTTGCGTTGTGGTTTGTTTTGTTCTCCGTCCAAATAGACAGGATTAATCTGCCACCAAGCTGTAATACATTCCTGTGACAAACTACAGGTCCCTGCAGGCCTGCTGTTGGCAGAATGAGATGATGTAATCAGCCTCAGTCCAATTACCAAAGAGAATAATAACACCTTTATTTGTGATGGCCTTTAGTCACCTTTATTGTATAATCTTGTCCATTCGTTTTTATTTAAAAAATGGATTGGCACGACCTTTCAGTCAGACTGAGGACAAAATTCACACTTCATGCCAAACAGGATTCTTTACAGCGTAGAAGACACTTTTCCTGCTGGACCTGTACAGCTGTTTAGAAACACTTTCCTCACCTGACCTCAGATCAATCTGCCTCAGATTTCTGTTTCAGTAATGTAGCCCAGGTCTTCTGATTCATCCCACTTACAGCGTGCTATTGTGAGGTGTTTTAATGGCTACTGAGAGACAGTACAAAGAGGGAAATGTCTTGAATCTTCTGGTAGTGTGTTCCATTTGACCTGAATCTGACCTCTGAGAGCAGATATGATTGTGTGCTGTTGGAACAAAGGAACTGGGGCTGTGTAATCAGGGAGGGGCGCGCTGAGTAAAACTAAACACATTTGCACAACTATCTCCATATTTGAAGTACACCACGAGCGATTCAGGTATTTGATGATATTTTGAATTTCTGCTTGTCTGCACATTCATCAAATAATAATAATCCAACAAACATCTGCTCACAGTAGCTTAAGAACTGATATAAAGGAAAACTGTACATTCCTCAAAAACCATTTAGACTGAAAGAAAACAAATATCATTTTAAAAAACACGGTATATAATTTATATAATATAATTTATAAATAGTGGCACTTTGGCCCAGAGGTCAGTGTCTCTGTCATTGGTGTGGAACCCCAGGGTTCACCTCCTGGGTAAGTTCGAACCCCGGTTAGGGCGGTTGGTACCTTCCAGTGGATGGAATTTATAAATATAATTTAAAAAAAAATGCTTGAATGATCCAACGTTGTATTTTACATGAGGTCTTTTTTTTTCTTCTCTGATCAAATCAGCCACAATTTGCTGTTTGCGGATTGAAAATATCTGGTGTAAATCGTATCGTCACCCACTTCCGGGGCACAACCAAGGGTTTGATAAACTTTGAAGCTGTCTAGTGCGTCCTCCTAAGTGATTTCTTGAGCTGGTGTTAAATGTTTCTTACATCAGTTTATACACATGATAAAACATTGTTTCCCAAAGAGGTCGCAAGAGTTTGGTTTTTTTTTTTGTTTTTTTTTTTGGGTCGTCTCGCATCATGTTTCCCAGAAGTTTACGAATAATGTCTATTGACTTGGGTCGCAAAGGTTTGTGACTTTTAAAATATCGGTCCCTGGAAAAAAAAGTTTGGGAAACACTGCTGTAGAAAAAGTTCTGGTTTTGTACAACACTGAAAATCTATGAATGTTCAGTGATGATTCAGTTATCTTCATTATCTGCTGATTTACCGCCAACAAACGGGTTCTTTGTGAGTCACGTTTGTACGTGTTGTTTATCTATTACTTCGTGAAGCACTTACTAAATGATTGTGACTTAAAATGCACTCCACTTCATTTAACAATCCATGAACCTCCATCTGCAAAAATGGAGTATTTGTAATCCAATCCAGTACAGATGTTAGTCCTGTATGATTACTGGTAGTATTTGGTCATCTTTATGCTCATTTCCTGCCTCCTTCTCTTGTGTTTTTTTTTTGTGTACTCCACAGTCAACCCATGCTGTTACATTCCCTGTCAGCACAGGGGCATTTGTGTAAGACATGGAGAGGAAAAGTATGAGTGTGACTGCACGCGCACCGGATACTACGGAGAAAACTGCACCGTCCGTGAGTCCAGTTGTTATTATTAAACCATGACACGAACTCCTCTCCCTCCAACTGACCTGCAGACAAAACAAAGTTGACTTTTGTTGTGGTGGGAACGGGAAATAATGTAATATAACCTGGCTTACACAGTGAGCACATCTTGTCTAGAACCAAATATTTGGAGAAACTGGAAAAACACAAGCAACTGCCAGCTGGACATGAGCTGCATCTGCTGAGCGGCAAATCAGTTTTCTCTCTCTCTTTGTCCTCAGCATGAACACGAAGGCCTCACATATTGTTGTCCTGAATCGGATGTAATTTGGCTGCCAGTTATGCAATCATGTCATGTTCGTTAATCATAGTAATTAGCGTTTTTGTTTTTCATTATGTAGAGGGAACAATATTATCAGTATATGGGAGGAAAACAGGGAAATTGGATTTTTTGTTTTTCATTGTGGAATCCTGTTTTTATTGGCAAATTCAGTTGATTTTTTTTCTTGAAATATACAGTAAACCAACCAATAAGCTGACTTGAATATGGAGCTTCCACCCAGAGTTTTATAGGTCAGTTCAAATATATAAGGTTCCATGTCATAAAATGATCAAGGCAAATAGTTTGAACAAGTCAAATAAAGTTGCAGCGAGGTCACGTTTCCTCTCCTCTCACTTTGTAATCAAACCGTGTCTTCATGATGTCTTCAACAAATCAGCGAGGAATTCAACACGTAGGTGGAGAACCAGAAAATTGCACCAAGTCCAGATTTGTGGTGAATTCTGTTTGGCTATGACACAATGTTTCCAGGAATAACGGTTTTCCAGTCAAACTGCTCTTTTTTTCCCCCTTGTCTGTCCGTTTCACCACAGCGGAGTTTTGGACCAGAGTGCGTCACTTCTTAAAGCCAAGCCCAGATGTGGCACACTACATTCTCACCCATTTCCATTGGCTGTGGGACGTCATCAATCACACGTTCTTACGTGATGTTCTCATGCGGCTGGTGCTCACAGGTCAGCGGTCGAAGTTAGTCGTATTAGATCATTATCACCGTCATTAAGGAAAACTAATCCTAAGCTTTTTTTTCTTTCCTATCCCAGTTAGGTCCAACCTGATACCCAGCCCTCCAACCTTTAACTCAAAGTACAACTACCTCAGCTGGGAATCCTACTACAACTTGAGCTACTACACGCGCCTACTGCCCCCAATACCAGACGACTGCCCCACACCTTTGGGTGTTAGAGGTCAGTTACACAATTATATCAAAAAAGACCAGTACATTTTGTGAGTAATGTTACTAGGACCTTACTTTTCTTCTTCTTCTATCACTCCTTTCTGTTCTCTGGACCATATATATGCATATATATTGTCCAGACATATATATGTATATATACATGTTTATACATATATATACACATACATACATATATAGTATATACATATATATACACATACATACATATATAGTATATACATATATATACACATACATACATATATAGTATATACATATATATACACATACATACATATATAGTATATATGCATATACATATATATGTATATGCATATATACTATATATGTATGTATGTGTATATATACGTATAAACATGTATATATACATATATATGTCTGGACAATATATATATATATATATATATTGTCCAGACAAATATATACATATATGTATATATTTGTCTGGACAATATATATATATATATATATCGTCCAGACATATATATGTAAATATACATGTTTATACATATATATACACATACATACATATATAGTATATATATTTATAAAGACATATGTAGTATATACTGTATGTACATACTGTATATATATATTGTCCAGACAAATATATACATATATGTATATATATATACACACACACATACATATGTAGTATATATAATTATATAGATATATGTATGTAGTGTATATATATATATTGTACATTTATATGCATAAGACCTCTGGTGTCTGGTGCTTTGTCAGTTAAACCTGACCTTCAAGACTTTCAAAGTGCAGTGTAATGTGCCAACTCTATCTAGTGTCTAGTGTTGTTTCACGGACATACAGTACTGTCTCAGTATTATGACTGCACGCTGTTTCTATCTCTGCGGCGTGAATGACACGTGTGACACACTGGTGTTTCTTTTTTTAGGCAAGGCTGGGCTGCCTGACCCTGAGCTCCTGGTTGAAAAGCTGTTGAAGAGAAGGACTTTTAGACCCGATCCCCAGGGCACCAACCTCATGTTTGCTTTCTTTGCACAGCATTTCACCCACCAGTTCTTTAAGACCTACAACCGCATGGGTTTAGGTTTTACTAAGGCTCTAGCACACGGGGTAAGACAGTTCACAGTTATATGTAAATATAATACGTGCATGACATTTTATTATCCTGAAGGAATGGGGCTGAGAACGGATCCCTGGGGAACACCGTCTGAGAGTTTCAAATGTTAAAAAAATATATGAAAGCTTTGGAACATGTTTTGGCTCGTCATAATAAAGTATATCATATTTCTTCAAATATGTTTAGTTTGTTTATATTTTATCTTGTAATATTTTATGTTTGTTACCTTTTTGTTAACTCTTGCCAGAGTCTGATTATTTAAAATTTCTGAATAAAAAAACTTCAGTTGAAAGGCTGCTGTATTTAAAGCCATTGTTTAAAAAAAATCCAGTAGATTTGTAATTGTAAATATTATGTAATAGTAAATTGATCATTTGGTAAAATATGTAGATAATTAAATAAATGAGTGATCTACAAAAAAAAGTTTGTTTGTTACGTGCAATGTTTATATCCGGTTTTTCACTAAAGTTCTTTTCCAATGTGACAGGTAGACGCAGGACACGTTTATGGAGACAACTTGGAACGCCAGCTCCAACTTAGGCTTCACAAAGATGGAAAACTGAAATATCAGGTGAGAGAAAGAAAACACTCCCCCCCCCACACACAGGTCATCTGGAGCAGAATAATCCTGAAAAACAAAAATTAATTTCTCTAGATTGTTGGTCTAGTTTACAGTTAAATACTGTACTGTACTGTACTGTACTGTACAGTACAGTACATGAGGTGTTGGAACTCTCATGAGTACACTAACAAGAAGCAGCAGTTGCAATATTTCGCACAGATGTGCCACACAGTACAGTATGAGTCTTGGGGAAACAGTGTCACAATAAATGGATAGGAGTTAAAAGACCAGGTTTTACAGTAATTTGTTTTTTTTTTAATTATTAACTCGTGCCTTTATTTCCTTTAATTGTAGGTCATCAATGGCGAAGTGTACCCTCCCACTGTACTCGATACGATGGTGAAGATGAGCTACCCCCCAAGTGTTCCACCTGAGCATCAGATCGCTATTGGTCAGGAAGTGTTCGGACTTCTCCCTGGTTTGGGAATGTACGCCACCCTGTGGCTGAGGGAGCACAATCGAGTCTGTGACATCCTGAAAGTGGAGCATCCCACGTGGGACGATGAGCAGCTTTTCCAGACCACACGTTTGATCATCATCGGTGAGTTGGGCGTTCTTTTCAAGAAGTGACTTCTTCTTCTTCGTGTGTCTTACACAGAGGTGGAAAGTAAGTAAATTCATTCACATTACTGTAGTTTTTGTGAGTCATTTGTAGTTTTTGAGAATAGGTAATTTTACTTTTACTTCGAGTATGTTACTTCGGTAAATTTAAAAATAACCCGTTACTGAGTAAAAAATTGAATGCGGGGAAAAACAAGCCGCGTTAACTGAAAGGTTAAACTGGTTTAACTTCCTCCGTTAAGGAAATGTGCCTTCATGATATCCAATATACAATATATATGACATATATATTAGGGCTGGGCAACAATGAATTATTTATTACAATTTTTATTTCGCTTTTTGCCGACAAATAATATTGTGTTTTACATTAAAGCTAATGGTTGAAAAATGGGATGTTAGCATTTTTAACACGTAGCAAGAGTACTGTAGCAGAAGGTACATGTTGTTATATTTGGACGGAGTCTCTGAGCGAGAAAATACAGAACGCCGTAATCACAGGAATTCTGTCACCCTTTACATTTTAAGAATATCAATCTCTGCATGTGCTGCCTCTCAGGTGAGACGATCAAAATCGTGATCGAGGAGTATGTACAGCACCTCAGTGGCTACATGCTGCAGCTGAAGTTTGATCCAACGCTGCTGTTTAACACTCCCTTCCAATATGGAAACCGAATCGCACTGGAGTTCAGCCAACTGTACCACTGGCATCCGCTGATGCCTGACAGCTTCCTCATAAATGGAGATGAAGTGACGTACACGCAGTTTCTCTTTAACACGTCCGTCCTCACGCACTACGGCGTTGACAAGCTGGTGGACTCTTTCTCTCGGCAAGTTGCTGGGCAGGTATGTAAAAGACTGATGTCATTACTGACCCTTTAATTTAGACAATACAGTAATGTCAATTTTATGAAGTAATGCTTTTGTACAGCAAATACAATATTATTTGGTGATTAGATCTCTATGTTTTTTTAGGGTGTGACTGAGAAGAAGGCTGTCTCTAGGTTTTCTTTGCTCATTTAGACCAGTGTTTCCCAAGCTTTTTTTCTGGGGACCCATTTTAAAAGTCACAAACCTTCGCGACCCAATCAATAGACATTATTCGTAAACTCCTGGGAAACATGATGCGAGATGACCCAAAAAAAACCAAACTCTTGTGATCCACTTGGGGGTCGCGACCCAGTCTTTGGGAAACAATGTCTTAAGTGAATATCATAATTCCGCCCATTGTGGTGGTGGTTCTATCAGGACAGGACATTTAGTGTAAAAACTGTGCCCACGTTACGATTCCTACCTGTGGTGGTTCTATCAGGACAGGCCATTTAGTGTAAAAACTGTGCCCACATTACGATTCCAATTAACCCTCAGACTCGTAAAACAAAAAAATCAAGACTGTGAACGACTGATATTTAATCATTCATGAGGTAGATCAGTTTAAAGACCAGCGTTGTGGTCTCACTTTTTGAAACATTTTTTGAAACAGCAGCATTTAATCATGATCAAATGATAATTGATTAACAAATTAAAAATATAATAAAATAAACCAATGGAATCTCCACAGATCGGCGGGGGCCATAACATCAATGCGATTGTGACTCACGTGGCTGTGGGTGCCATAAAGGAATCTCGCCAGCTCCGGTTGCAGCCGTTCAATGAGTACAGAAAACGTTTTAACCTGACGCCCTACGCATCCTTCCAGGAATTCACTGGTAAGTCTGTCAAATGAAAAGGGTTTCCTGAATGAATGGTTTTCAGTATTTTTAATAGAAATGTCACTACCTTTGTATGTGGACGGTCTGTGGGAGAGGAGCCTTTTATTATTGATACAATGTGCAGTATTCTGGTATCTAGTTTGAGATTTTGATTTAGCAAACAACAACAGCGTTCCGGCTCGCTAAAGAACAGATTTTGATTTAGCAAACAACAGCGTTCCGGCTCGCTAAAGAAAATGGGATTGTAAACTTTTATAATTTTTATTTATTTATATATTTATGTATTCTCCTCTAAGTTAAGCTTGCTTATTCACTGCCTTGATTATCCTTTGGGTTTCAATTGCTTATCTGTTTAATTATAATTGCGTTACTGCCACCTACTGGCGTCACATACTTCAAGCGACCGATTTAAACAAGGAAAAATACTTTTTTTTTTGCTTATTTCTTTTCACCAAATAATGATCTTTCGCAGATAATGAAGAGATAGCCGGCGTGTTGGAAGAACTCTACGGAGACATTGACACACTCGAATTTTATCCCGGTTTAATGTTGGAGAAAACAAGACCTAACGCCATATTTGGGGAAAGCATGGTGGAAATGGGAGCTCCTTTCTCACTCAAAGGCCTCCTAGGAAATCCTATATGTTCTCCAGAATATTGGAAGCCCAGCACCTTTGGAGGCAAAGTGGGCTTTGACATAGTGAACTCTGCCACGCTAAAGAAGCTGGTTTGTCAAAACACCAGGACATGTCCTTATGTGGCATTTCACATACCTAGAGAGGAGCAGTCCCAATCCCAGGGTCAGAAAGAATTAAATAAGGACGGAAACGACGAGCTATGACCTCATTCACAATCATCAAGGGGGCACACCCACAGGCAGGTGTGAAAAAAATAAAAATGAACTGCCTCAGCAACAAGAAAACACTGGAGAAAGACCAGGGACTGAAAGAAAAGTCACACTCGTCTAGTTTTTACTTTGCTGTCTCACACTCACACACAAACAAACACATCAGTGAGCACATGAACTTGTGGTCTTTTCTATAGGACGAAAATACTATCATCTATACCTGTACAGTACAGTGTTCATTAATATGTGCAAGAACTGCCTCTTTGTTTACAAGATTTTGTATTAATTACATTTTTGCAAGTCTTTTCAACCTGAAAATAAAAACAAACCGTGTTCACAGAGTGGGTTTTAATTTAATGTCTTGAAATTGTAGCGTTGTTGTTTAACTGTCCATTTATCTGAACCTCATCATGAGCTCAGAGTTTCCCTTGGCTGGGAATGGCAGGGTTAAAGGCACATTTCAGCCCAGTTAAAACAAGTCCACAAACACCTACTGTTAATGTGAAGTAACAAGAATGATCTAAGAACGTGCAGCTATTTTTTCAAATAGTGATTCATATTCAATATAAAAACATTGATAACTATTTGTCATCTAACAACAGTTTCATACAGGTAACAGATTACAGGTCTAGTTCCTCATTACAACGCCATCTTGTCATTAAGATTGGAACTGTATTCAACAAACCTCCCCAAATCTTTCCAAAAGAAAACTCTGGAAAAAGAAAAATAATAAACTTGGACCTTTTTTTTGCGATGACCTCTTTTTTTAATCACTTGTGGTAGCATAGCATTCCATAGCATCCACTTGGTAACTTTCTGGTATTTCTGCCAACGTTTTATTTGTCTTCATCTCCTCAGTCTTTCAATGACCATCGTCTGCTTCAGGACTAAAAGGACTGTCTTTTTTTTTCTATCAACATACTGTAGAGGAATTTCTTCAGCGTCTATTGTCTTGCCAGCCTAGGTAAAAGCTTCTATAGCTGCAATTTCCTTCTTGCGTACTGCCCCGTCCTCTTTTCCTCCCACTGCTTTATCAAAATAATGTTTTCCTATTAAAAACACAGTGGTGTTCTCAGTCTGTACAAAATATGTGCTCTTTTGTGTTTTCCCCAGGTTCCCACCCTTTCAACTTCCTTTCATGTCTCCCCTATTTTAAACAAACCAAATCCATTAAAACACTTTATTGCTTTTGGGGCCGTGGCTGCTTCACAAAACCTACTTTAAACAACATAATGAATGACTTCATTTGCCCTCAGTGGCAAAAAAACAAAAAAAAAAAAAACAGTTTAAACACACTGGAAGATAGCTGTACCCTTTTTTTAGCATATGATCAAAAAGATGGTAAGCTGAAAAAAAGTATTTTGATAAAAATAAAATATTTTTTAAAATATGCAGATTAGGTGTATATAGTACACAAGTAAATACAGTTTTTTAACATAAAAAAAAGATATGCGGAAATTGAGGTAGAAATGTAAAAATGTAAACAGTGAGGTAGACAAATGCAAAAACGAAAACGAATGGGTAAAGAGAGGCTTGATTACTCCAATTGTGCTCACCTGCGTCGCCGCTCCCGTGCTCTCCTTCCTGCAGCTGAGCATCTTATACCGTCGCGTCGGTTATTTCATTTATTTACGTCATATGTATGTCTTATATTTCCACTATACAACTCTACTGTACATATAATTGTGTGGGAAAGGTTAATACAGTTTGGGGGTGTTGATAACAGTGTGGGGGAGGTTCGTAAAAGGTAAATATATACGTTAACAATATAAAACTCTCCCTTTTCGCGGTGGGTCTTGGAACGCAACTACCGCGATATGAGAGGGATCACTGTAATTTTACAAAATTCTAAAACAATTGTATGCTTAGTATGCTGTCATGGCATTTCCCTCATCACTGGGTGAAGCCTTTAATGCTGCATTCGTGAACACTTTGTAATTTCTGATGTACTTAATCAAACATGAACCGTAAAAGTAATATTTTGAAGACATGTTACATTCGATCTATAGTTTACTTTGAGAATATCAATGGTATATAGAGTGTGCAGTGTACTCTCGTTTATATATTGCTTTTTATGTGTATTCATCGACAATGACGTTTAGTATTAAAAATTACGACACTTGTTTGGACACTGAAGGCAGCACGGGGGAAGTAGAGGTTTACGCTACGGCTGTAGACGCTAACAGATCTGTAAGAGAGTGCTTTGGAAGTCCACGACATTTCGTTTGCGATAGGCGGTCATAAAGTACAGGTAAGTTTGATTTATTTGAATTTAGTGAACTGTTATTGCGTCGCGTAATGAGTCTCAACGATTGGCGTCGCTCGGTTTACGGTTAGCTAATGCTAACTAGTGAATTAATGCAGGTATAGGTGGCTAATGCTAACAAAAACGTATGTAGTGTTAAGTCCTGCTCTACTTCTAGGCTCTCGGTATTGTCGCCTGTATTGTTTAAAAACACGATGAAATGACAGCGAACATTCTTAGCTGAGAGGAGTCGAATTTGTCCATGACATAAGGTACAACTACGATATATATATTTACTGCAGGCCTTCACTTTGACTGTTTACTTGTGGTGGTGACTTTTTACTCCGCCGCACGATTTTAAATTGCCATCAGCTTACAGACAAAGCGGACACAACAGCTTTAGCCCAGGAATAGTTTAATTCTGTTTTTGTAACATTGTCAAAGTATACTGGATTTAGTCTCATTGTCTCTCCATCTGTGAACACGGGCTGGTTTATCTACGGCTCACTGCACAATAAAAGGCTTTGGGCCGTGATATTTATGTAAGTGACAGAGACTTAAACACCAGTTGTCCAAAGTATGAGTGTCCTACTTTCTACGTAAGCTGTCTTTGTCTGACCTACATCTGTTTAAATGAAAGCTGAGTGGATTATTGTGCTTAATGGTTTTCGTTACCCAATGTGTGTTAAAGATGCAGCAGTTAAAGACCCAACGCAGTATTCATTTAGTCCATAAGATGCTAAATACAGTCCAGAAAAATGTCATATAAAATGTAATTGTAAAAAATGTAAATGTAAAAAACTATAGTTGACTGAGGAAATAACTAAATAGCTTAGAAGTTGAGAAGAAGTTAATTCGTTTGACGATAAATTGTGGCCAATTCACACGTCATGATGAACATTAAAATAAAACGCATTTAATCGTTTTCAATAAGGCCTAAGCTTATACTCTGTGTATTGTGTTGTGTATTAAACATGAATGACTGTTCTGCTTAGGTAAGCCGTGATCATGACAACTCTGGATGATAAGATACTGGGGGAGAAGCTGCAGTACTACTACAGCAGCAGTGAGGATGAAGGAAGTGACAATGAGGATGATGAAGGGGAGAGTAAGACCATCAGGGATGCCAGCGTTGCAGAGCCGGTCATCGACTACAGTGCAGATGGAAGTGCTGTGAACACAGGTAGATAATAATGAATATAATTTAAATCTTTAAAACTTTTTAAAATCACTGTTCAGTGATAGAAAGTCTGATGATCAAGTGACCTTGGGTGTTCTCTCACAGGACCAAAGGGCGTGATCAATGACTGGAGGAAATACAAGCAGCTGGAGGTGGAGCAGAAACAGGAGCAGAAGAAAGAGATGGAGCGACTGATCAAGAAGCTGTCGATGACCTGTCGCTCTGACCTGGACCTGGAAAAAGATAAAGAGAAACAAAAAGAGCTGCAAGACAAAATTAATGGCAAAGTGGGTGATGAAATGCAAATAAAGATTAGTTGATTATAGAAATTATAGCTGTTGTAGAAATGTATCATACTTTAGGAAAGATGTTTTCATTAAGACCATGCTAAGAAACAGTGTCTATTTACACTTCACCATGTTGAACAAGTTGGGGTTTTTTTTTTCAACCCTACAGATGACTATGCAAGAGTACAACATACTTAAGGAGGGAGACGATGATGAAGACTTCCTCCAGCAATACCGTATGCAGCGCATCGAAGAGATGCGCCGCCAGCTCTGCCGTGGAAAACGTTTTGAGCAGGTCTACGAGCTCAACAGCGGCGAGGAGTTCCTGGAAGCCCTAGATAAGGAGGATAAAAGCACGCTGGTCATGATCCACATATATGAGCCAGACATTCCAGGCTGTGAGGCCATGTTTGGCTGCCTGATGTGTCTGGCTCAGGAGTACCCGCTGGTGAAGTTCTGCAGCGTGCGCAGCTCAGCCATCAGCACCAGTGCACTGTTCAGAGACAGTGCTCTTCCTGCCCTGCTTGTTTACAAAGGCGGGGACCTGATTGGCAACTTTGTGCGTCTCACAGACCAACTGGGTGAGGATTTCTTTGCTGTTGATCTGGAGGCTTTGTTACAGGAGTATGGCATGCTGCCTGACAAGTCTCCAGTCGCCCCAAAGGTGATTCGCAATGGAGCCATTATCCAGAACAATGTGAGTGATGAAGACTCTGACCTTGATATAGATTAGAGCTGCCATCATCATCATCATCATCATCATCGAGTGCTTGGAACCGTGTATGAACTAAGTCTGCATGGACAACAGAACATCCTAATAAATGTATGAAACAGAACCAGGTCAGTGAGTGTTTCTCAGCAAAAATAGTTTTATTTATTTAGAGTAAAAATAGCCAGTTTCATTATCAAGGACCTGTTCAGACATAGAAAATCTTTATGTGTAGGTTAATATTTTGTTTGAATTGTAAGTGTATTTATTTATGTAAAGGACCAGTGTGTGAGATTTACCTCTCACTGTGCATTACTGCACACAAAAACTAAAAACATTTGTTTGTTTTGATCCAGTTGTGTTTGAGTACTTTGTTGGAAAAGTAGTGCATCTTGGCACAGAGTTGGAGTTGGTACATATGCAACATGTGACGACCTAAATCCTCCGCACTGGTCCTTTAAACACATTCCTCTCCTGCTGCATCTTCTGTCATGTGTAAATCTGAACCATCGTTCCTGTTTGGCTCCAAGTTCATTTTCTAACTTTTCTACATGCTGTACCATTTTAAACAGAAAGATGAATAAACTCTAAACTGTTTGCACTTGCATTTTAACTTTTTCTTATATTCTAAGAGCCTTTATCATTCATTGAGCAAATAAGTTGCACATAATTGTAATCTATCCTACTTTTAGGGGAAAGTGTGTAGACATACAGCAATGACCAAAATGCGTCAACTATGTGAAGCCAATTTTTCTTAACATTTTTTCCATATTGATAATTCCATCATTATTTCAACATTTTTCCCATATTGATAATTCCATCATTTGGATTAGTTTCATCTATTTGCTTTTATTTATCTTTCTGTCCATTAATATACAGAAAACATATCAATCCTTAAAAATGTTGACTTATCTGGATTAATCCTTGTTGAGCAGCATCTAACCTGTGATTAAGCATTTTATAATTTTAATTGTTTTACAGCCCCAATGTATATACTGAGGCATCAGCATCGGCATCATTAGGAAAACTCTTCAGTGCAGTAGTTTGTATCCCACCAGCCTCAAGATACAAAGAGCAAAGGTCATGAGCAGATCATCCATGGACTCTGGGATCTTGTGTCCTACAAACAGTCCGTCATATGGAGTACAGTGAAAGTAGAAACCATCAGCAGCAGGACAACAGTGCCCCTAAGGAGGGAGGACGCTGCAGAGCTGTGCAGCTCATGTCCACAGAAAACATGTTCCAACAGGAGATGCGTCTCTGCACTGAGGCCTGCCGGGAACAAAGGAACACACCCACTGTTACACACTGGTAGTGGATCTTTATTTTCCACTAAGCGACCAATAACAAAAGGATCATCCGAGGCCTGGTTGGTAAACAAATCATTTCACTATCCCTCTGGTGCTTGCGTGACCTGGGAACTTCTGCACAAAGGGCCCACAAATCAATGCCCACTAATGGTATTGCTTTGCCACAACTTGTCCACATGTATTAAATTACTGGTGGCGTTAGAAAACTGGTTTCTGAATGTCTTGCATTTACAGAGAGTGGTTTGAAAGTGAGGTGACGTCACACACCGTGTTCTGACCAATCGTCCCACAGATGCTGAATATCCTCGTCATGATTCACCTGGTGATCTGGAATGTAAGAGAAACTTTATTATTTAAGTTTTCCATTTAAGTAAAAAAAAATCTCTATAAATTTATTGCTCTGGTAATTTTTTTTTCCAAAATTTTGATGAAATTTTTCAACATCTGACCAACATGACATGTGACATGTTTGCCAAACAATTCCAAAAAATATTTTTTTGATAAATCTCAAAATGCAGTATTTTTGTGTGAAAAATGCAGAAAATATAAAATTATGATTTTTTTTTTTCAACCTTTGACCAATGTGACATGCGAAATTAGGATTTTCCTGAAAAAATTCAAAAAAAGAAATTTCTAAAAAATGTCTCAAAATGATCTAATTTGATGAGAAACATTCAGAAAACAAAGTTTTGATTTTTTTTTTTTTTGTCAAAACTTTTACATTTTCACCATCTGGCCAACATGACATGCAAAATTGAGATTTTCCTGAAAAAATTCAAAAAAAGAAATTTCTAAAAAATGTCTCAAAATGATCTAATTTGATGAGAAACATTCAGAAAACAAAGTTTTGATTTTTTTTTCTTTTTGGCAAAACTTTTACATTTTCACCATCTGGCCAACATGACATGCAAAATTAGGATTTTCCTGAAAAAATTCAAAAAAAGAAATTTCTAAAAAATGTCTCAAAATGATCTAATTTGATGAGAAACACGCAGAAAAGAAAAAAATATAATTCTAAATTTTTATCAAAAATGTCTCAAAATGATGTAATTTGATGAGAAACACGCAGAAAAGATTAAAATTAGATTTTTCTAAATCAAATTTGAAAATTCTAAATTTTTATCACAATTTGTCAACATCTGATATGGGATCTTGGAGAAAACCTTTTTCTGGAGCTAACCTATAAGATGAGCATGTGAATCTTACAGCTGAGCACCAAAAATGTATTTATTTATTCCCCCATGTCCCCATCCGGGGTTCCATTTCCCATACCAATCACATAAACCTGACTTTATTGTCATCAACCTGCAACTTTTTCTTGTAACATTACGACTTTGTCCTCGTAAATTCATTATTTTAATCTCGTTTTTTTATTATCATCAATGTGGCCTTAAAAATTTTAATTACGGAACTTGGAAATAATTAAGAACTGTTAGGCAAAATACCACAAACATCTGATGCCGTACCACTGGAGTGCAGCCACAGCATCCGTTTCAGTTCTCTGAAGGCCTGTGTGAGGTTTTCCAGCTGATCATGGAGGTGGATGTTCTCTTCTATCAGTGTGTGGATGGTGTCCTGTAGTTCGAAGCTCCCACCTTCAAGGATCAGCAGAGTCTGCAGTAGGAGGAAAATGACTGTCCTTTGTCTCCTCATGGCGAGCACAGAACCGTCCTTCTCTGAAACCACGTTCAGTTGACGCCTAATCTCACACCAGAGACAGTTGTGTGCAAATGCAGCATTGATTGTTGCAGGAGGTTTTATCAGATTTAACTTCAGGCTAAAGGGAGGAGGGAGGCAACAGGGGTCAGTTCTCTCATGTCAAAGATATGAGAGGAGGGTCAGTTCTCTCATGTCAAAGATATGGCTCATGTCAGGCTGCTATAAAATCAGTTTCTGAACATCAGAAAGTAAAAATAACTAACATAATGCCCTAGTTCTATGTTTGTCCTTCAGAAACCTCAGCAAATAAACAGTTCTGTCTTTTTCTTCTGTTGGCTTCTGTCAGGGGTCGCCACAGCTGATCATCTGTCTCCACCTCTATCTCTACTCACTTCACTTCATCCATGAGCCATGGCACGTCCAACATTCCATGTCTGATATTTCTACTGTCCAATTACTGCTGTATTTTACTAGTATGGAGGTAAATCCTCTTTCTGGCTTTGGAACAGTCTTGACAGTTGTTAGTGCCATAAATACCAAATGCTGGAAACACTCCTGTGGTCGACAGACAGCATCGTACCAATGAAGACGTCTCTGTAGTTCCAACACATCCCAAAGGTGCTCTTATGGCCAGAGGCCATTAAATAACACTGAACTTATTTTTGCATTTAAGCTGTGGTTGATCCAGGTTTAGTAACCTGTAGTTTCAGGTTGCTGTAATTAAACCCAGGCCGTCGTCTGACTGCAGAATTAGACTCATTAAATCAGACAGCAGTAATCCACTGCTCTGCAGACTAATATTGGTGACACAATGCAGATCATTATGTTTGGTCTGGTTTTCTGTTTCCTCATTCAGGTGTGACAGCCTGTGTGAGTGTCTGCTGCAGTTGCCTACCTGCACTAAAGCTTGATGTGCTGTGTTCAAGGACAGATGTAAAGCGACCCAGTCTGGATTATCACCACCTCGCTATAGGCTTGAACCAGACTGGACATTTGTTGTTGACTTGCCAGGGAACACTACCTACATAACTACATCAATTCACGTGCACTGCTCGAATCCCAAAGAGAGAGAAAAAAAAAGCAGTGCACAGAGAATCATAAATGTTACCAACAAAGAGCTTGACACAATTCAGTGTTTTTACCAAACATTTATTTATTAATCATGTTAATATGTTTATGCGGTCTTGGTAGCCCTGGTGCGCTTCTTTTTTACAACAACGGGCTTCTGGCTCTTCAGAATGGCACTGGCACGACGGAGGGCGGCCTGTAGCGAGACGGTTGTAGTATTTAGCACTTGAGTTATAGTTTGAATGTACAGTGACATTATGACAGCATTTAAGACTTTTCTCAAACAGTGTCACAGCACAAAGCTCACCATGCGCAGATCCTTTCTGTATTTGTTCTTGGTGATGATGTGCCTCAGGCTGCTGAGGGTGGCGCGGGAGTTCTTGTTGATAGTGATCTTCTCATAGGATCCAACAGGTTTGTTCTGACCTGCAGAGAAAGATGAATCAGTCCAATGTGATCTTATGAGATCTAATAATCTAAAAACAGCTGACTTCAGATGGTCTGTTGTACATGTCTTTGCTGAACCAACATCGCCCCCTATCCTACTTTACCAGAACAGATGAGACAATGAGTAGTGCAAGTTTTCATTCATTTGACAAATTTAAATAGCAGGATGTGAGGTGAGTGTTAAAAATCTGCACTACTCTTAAAATGATGGAGTCTTTAGGTTGAAAAAAAAGTTAATTAAAAAGAATTATCATTCAGTTTAAAAGTCTTTTTTTTAAATTAAAAGTATTTATAACTTTGACTTTCAGCATTTAAAGCAATAGGTGCAAAGTGTCATCTGTATTTTAGGCTTGAACGGATAAAGTAAAAGTATTAAGTATTAAGTAAAAGTATAACTTTGACTTTCAGCATTTAAAGCAATAGGTGCAAAGTGATAGGTGCAAAGAGTCATCTGTATTTTAGGCTTGAACGGATAAAGTAACAACACGCTTTATCAATATCTGAAAACATGCCGTCTGACATCAGTTCGTGTCTTTGACATGTCATGTTTACCTTTGCGCTTCTTCAGAACGACCACAACACCCTTGCCATCGGCAGCTGGCTGTACACCTACAGTCTTCTTGTGAACCAAACCATTGAAGCGGAAAGAGTTCCTGGACTTCAAGTTGTTGGGCTCCTGTAGCACAACACAAAATGAATACAAATTATTACAACATTAAATACTTTCCGGTGCTCCTTGTTGTGAACTTCACATAGAGGGGTCACGTTTTTAACTATCAACGTTAGGGCTAGAACGTTGTGTTTATTCATATCGAAGCATTTGATACACGTTTACTAAACCTATTAAATGTACTAATCAAACTTGGTACAACAACGTAACTCCAAACAGCATCAGCAGCAGATGTGCTGTTAACATAATGCGGATAAAACGATATTCCAACGGATTATCTTGCTGTAACAAAGTTCCAGTGCGTTACGTTACGGTTGTATCTCTGACATCGATCACTCACAGTGCTGTAGGTCTGTCCGTTCCTCTTGAGGAGGAAGCTGGAGCAGTTCCTGATGACCATCCACTGCAAATGGGCAGACATGTTGAACCTGGTAAAAACAATACAATGGGTTAGTCTATTTATCCTGACAGTTCACAGACAACGCATAGCCATTCACTCATTTGACCGCATGTAGCGTGTTCTTGATGTCACGTAAAACACATCACCTTTGGTAACCAGTGATTAGTGAGTAACATTAAATGTAACTGTGATGGTCAAGATGTAAGCTTTGATGGATTTTGAACCTAAATATAAAAAGCTTTAAGCCTCGGCTCATTACAACTCAGGCGTTAAACGTTAGCGCTAATGTTAGCACAACGAGGCCTAGCCCGGCGACATGCTTACAACGTTTTCTGATAGATTCACATTTTCAAAAGAACGTTTACTTGACATATTGGTTATATGCTTTATAACACAACACTATGGTTAAGTACATATACTCCAAAACGGCATATAAACTAGGGAATAAAAACTAAATACCATCGGCAACAACCAGAAGAAGTGACCACGTTACCTTTTAGCGGAGGAAAAGGACCAGAGAGAGCGGAAGCCGCTTTACGGAACATTTTGGGAAGATTCATGCGCACCACAACGTTGCAATTTTATGATTTTATAACCATAATGTGTTCTGATATGTAATCAAGACTTTAGTAACTAAGTAATGTTTTAAAATATTTTAGAATGTCGTTTAAAAATAGGATAATTGTCAATGTTATTATTTGTAGCACTAGTTTCCCTCTCGGCGGAAGGACACAGCCGTGTCACTTTGTGTCATTTTCTGACATCATTACTATGCGACTGGTGTTTTTACAAACCTAATAGATATAAAAAACTTTGGCAATTATATCACTGGTCTAAGTAGAATTTTTTTTCAGAAATTTATTTAGAAAAATATATAGTTCTTGGAACTAATGTACAGATATAAACCTGACATTTTAAAAAAAAATATGATCTGATTAAAGCGTAAATGTTGCGGACGTCTACTGCTCTTACTAGTGCTAACGCTACGAAGATACTACAGTTTTTAAATGTTTAAAAATGGTTCCCTAACTCAGCAACACATGTCAGAGTGAAGCGAGTCGGTACAGGATGGAGGACAGAGTCGACCTGGAGTCACTCGGTGAGCAGCTGTACACCAAGATTTACCCCCAACACAAAGAAAATGCAGGAAAACTCACAGGTGAGCTGACGTTTAAACCAACACCAAATAACACCGAATATAGCAAGTGGCCCAAGGTTGTGAGACCTGCACTTTTGTTCCAGGTATGCTGCTTGAACTCCCAGGTTCTGTGCTAATTCAGATGCTGCAGGACGAGTCCATGCTGTCAGCGGCTGTAGAGAAAGCCATCAGAGCCCTGCAGCTGCAACTAGAACCAAAGTAAGAGGATTCTGCAGGAGACCTCACCTGCACCTTTTCTGCTTACTCCTCCACAGACATATGTAACCAGACAGTAAGCTATCAATGCATGGAACAAGAAATGAAGAAATGGTATATATTTACGGAGAAAATATTCTCCAAGATTTTGAAGAAATGACTGGTATATATTACGGAGAAAATATTCTCCAAGATTTTATTCTTTTTGTCATTTAATTGGTGCTCTTATATGATTTTTATTTTTACATTTAAATTCCTCCATAGTACTGTATTCTCACTTCTTTGCAGCAGGGTCAAATCCAAAGATGAGGAAGACGTGTCCGTGTCCTCTGACTCTCTTGGAGAGCAGCTGTTTGAGCTGGTTGATGTTTACAGTACTGGTCACTCTCAGAAAATAACAGGTAAAAAACAAAACGGATTGCATGTCAAATTGAAAAGAAAAGTTTTGAGACACTTCAGAATTATATTAAAGATATCTTGTCCTTCTTCAGGAATGCTTCTGGAGCAGCACAAAGATGCGGTTTTAAAACTGCTCTCTGATCCAAAACTGCTGGAGGAGCAGGTCACCCTGGCTCTGAAGACACTGAAGGAGTGGGTGAATCATCAGTCAGTATTATCTTATCCATTTTCCTGCACAACGTGAATGCAATTTACTGTGAAATTTTCCTGCTCCTTCTTTTCAGACAAGACGAGGAGACAGACATCAGCGACACGTCAGATGCTGACGAAAAAGAGAAACTGGGAGAGGAGCTTTTCTCATTAGTAGAGGGCATTGATCCTCTTCACGCAAATGATATCACTGGTACATGTTATACTAAGGACTAACCTCCAGGTGCGCACACATGTAAACATCTTTGCAAAAAACGTGTTCTTGTGTTTGGTTCT